CCAAGTGATTTGCTTTAGACAGTGGAATTACTAAAAACAAAACAACCTTAGTTGGAGTTGATGCATTCCAGTAGCTCTGTGTTAAGAGGAGAGATTCTGTGGACACAAAGATTTTTCATTATTTTCTCATTATGATTAGGACACAAATATACTTCCTTTCCTGAAGTAGATCTCTGACAGCCATAATCTGGCGGGGGGTACAACCAAGGGGGGGGAGTGCTTTCCAAAGAGTCCTTCAAAGAGTGTTTTAAATATTTGCGTCCCAAACCCCAAATTAATAACTTTAGATGCCTCCATTTTTTCTAACAGAGTACATTCAGGGTAAGGAAGAAATGATGAATATGGATAAACCAAATCAGCAGTTTAATGTGACTATGGGTCTCATCAAGGTAGAACCAATAAGCAGGGAACTGATTTCAGCATGATAGTACAAGTGGGACCACCCAAGGCCAAAGGTCATGATGCTAGGCAGGAAGTTCTGCAGATGCCACCATACCTGTACAACAAAGGTTGTTCACTGATAATTATACCTAAGACACCTGCAGAGTTTTTCCTACTTCTATGAGAAAGGTTGATGACTTATTGGAAAATCAATTAACAATTTTCGAAGCCCTACAACTTTTTCAGCATTATCCTAAAACTGTGGAAACCTGATAGTAGGTTTAGGCTATGGTGAGATCTTAAAGACAAAACAGAGGAAATTTCTTCAAGATTATTTTGATTACTGGAGAATAGTTCCTGGGATATTTCCAAATTATTAGATGACAGAAAGTTTTTTTTAATCTTTCAGAGAAGTACTTATACTACTTAAATTTACTCATTCATGTATATTATTGCAACTTGATTTTCTACAAAAGGTGTTATGTAGAGTTTCTAGTGTCTTTGAAATTAACATCAGAACTTCAGTTATAAGACTTCAAAGCATCTTAGACCAGGTATTTTCTTTTAGCTGGGCAAAGAAAAAGAGATTTTTAAGAATATCTCTCATAACAAAGAGGAGAATCTCTCTTCTACCATGAAGCTCCTCAGGCAGCAACACTAAATTTTATTTATCTTATTTAATGGGGAGGGCATGCAAGGGACTGATCTAATTCAGTGTTAGAACTTTCAAAACAAATGAGACCATGAATCACAAATATTCATAGAATGCCTGGATATTGTAAAGGAAATCTTTTAGTTAGGGAAACAGCTGATAAACAAATGAAAAAAAAAACCCACAGTATGGTTAGCCACAGTTGCCAAATGGTCACTTTAAATTTTATGATGAATTAAAATTCTTCATAGACTATAAAAACAGATGCTACAGAACTTTCACTGAATCATTAAAAACAAGTTATTCCCCATTCTTCCCCTGTAATTCTTTTACAAGGGCAACAATCCTACCCAGATTGGAACTGCAGAGCAGAGGTAGATCATCAGATTAATATCTCTAGAAGCCAGAGTTATAAAGATCATTAATATTTAGCTAAATAACTCTGGTTTCTAGAGATATGCAAATCATTAATGCTTAGCTAAATCCAGCTTGTGGAAGTGCAAAACCTGAAAGTTAACACAAATATATAACATATTCATTCAGTTTGTACTATCTGTCTCCCATTCCCACAGTGGTCATTCCTCCTCATTAACATTATGGAATCCTGGCTTCCTTCAAAACTCAGTTCAAATGCTACCTTCTGCAAGAGATCTTTTCTTTAGCTGCTGCTGCTGCTTTCCTCTCTGAGGTTACTTTCCATTTAAGTCAAGGGGTTCTTAACCTTTTTTGTGCCACAGATCCCTTTGGAAGTCTAGGGAAACCAATGTGCCCCTTCTCTAGATGCTTTTCGATGCATAAAATACTTAAGCTGCATATCTATATTCTACACTTATAATTGTGTTAAATAGTGGTTATTGAATCTGTTTTTTAAGAACCTCACAAGCCCGAGGTTAAGAAGCCCTGAGCTAGCCAATATATTTCTTTTATGCACCTATTTATGGATATGTGATAGTTCTCCCCACCTCCATTAGAAAACAAACTCCTTGAAGATACACTTGTTTTTCTTTGTATTCCCAGGGTTTAGCTCACTGCCTAGAATATAGTAAGCATTTAACAAATGACTGCTGACTTTTTAAAGTATCTCAACCTTACTTTATGTACCAGTTTAGCAAAAGAAGCTAAATACGTGCACATATTTATGGACTCCCCAAAAGCAGAAGAATTCAAGTAAAAAGGCTGGCTCAGAACTGTTTGGACCTTGGGTTTGATCTGAAGCAGCACAGCAGAAAGGCAGGGCCTAAGTAAGAGGACTTGGGAGTCCCATCTTGGACCTGATGCTTTTTACCTCTATACCCTAACTTCTGGAGCTTCAGTATCTCATCCAGATTAGACAGCCTCCTAAGTCCCTTCCAGCTCTCCATTCGTGACTCTTCTATTTTAGTTTCCTAGCAAGCAGTCTTGGCACTCACACTGTTCTACCCTGAACATAGAACACAGAACTCATAGAACATAAATATATAGAGTAATCTGCATCAAAGATGTCAGGAAATGGTATGGATTCCCGAGACTGCAAACTAGTCCAAGGCTTGAACAGTTCAGAATCTCCCTTTTGATTGAATTCTGCTGGGTTTTTTAAAAAAATTGCTTATTTCAAATCTTTAGAAAGTACCTATGAAATTACTAACAGAGGAAATAAATAAAAGATACAGAGGGTTTTTTCCCTTAAAATAAAAAACCAGGCTGTACCTCAAGAGTAGCTAATACTAACACCATATGCTAACCTGTAAATAACAATTATGACTATAAGTCCTGTCATTTATAGTGGTCCTTCATAGTGGCAACACAAATATCTAGCTGCAAAATACTAAGCTTTTTACTAATAGTAATTCAAAATGTAATGCCCAAAGCCTTTACAACGACCCCCTCCTCATTTCAGTCTCTTGGCCTCCTTCACATCTCAGTTAGTTCCACCTTCTGAAAGAAGCCATTCTCAGTCCTTAACCACAGTGCCTTGCTTCTGAGATTACCTCCAATTTACCTGCTATCCATCTTTGTATATAGTTGTTTGCATATCGTCTCCCCCATTAGACTGTGAGATCCTTGAGAACAAGAATTGGGGGTTTTTTTTGGCCTTTGTCTATATCCTAATTACTTAGCAGAGAGCCTGGAAGATACTAGGTACTTAATAAATATGTATTGCTTGCTTACCTACGGCATCATTTTCTTTCATCCTATAGTTAAAAATGGGCATACCTTTCAGAAATTGACAAAATGCCAAAATATTTAAAGATCCTTAACTAAAAATAGAAACTCCTCCCCAAATCCCACCATTTAAGGAAAGCTGTTAATCAAAAGAGCATATGTGATCTCTATTTTTATTTTAAAATTAATCAAGTAATCATTATTAAATCATGTACTAAGTTCTTCAACTGTGTCATACACTGTACAAGTATTTATTAACAGATTTACAATAGAAACAGCAACAATAGCTTTATCAATAATAATTGTATATCTTTGTACATAGTACAGGTTTCAATTAAACCACTCTGAGGGGCAGACACCTTGCTGAGCAGTGGGAATACAAAGATGATACAAAAAGGCTTTGCCCTTAAGTAACTTATGGGGGGGGTGTCATTTTGAAAAGATGAAGAAAATTAAAATTTACACTAGGCCAATACTTCAACTATACAATAGTGCTTGCTTCTTCCAAGATCCTGCATTTAATGTAAAATTCATTCTCGTTAAAAGTACACTTTTTCTTTCAATTATCTTAAAGGAAGTAGAAGGGGCTTTCACACTGAACGATCTCTAAGAAAGTCTCTGTGTGATGAAAGCATTGCATAGAAAACATATGTGTTTCAACTATAACAATCAAGGAAGAAATAAAGTATGTTCCCCATTTTGAATATTTTTACTTAACCAAAGCTAAGGGGAAATGACTATAGATGTCAGTTTAAGATGAAGGTAAGGAGAAGAAAAAAAACAGAAAGGGACCCAAAGTTAGAGGTATTTTCCTTTGCCCCTTCCCTCCATGATATGTAATCTATACATCCCTGAGGTCTTCCATGGCCCTCTTTTCACATACAACTGTCTTCAGCCTGTGTTAAGTCTCCACTACACGGTGCACTTGACACCCTAAGCGCCTACCCAAGGAAACCCGGGCAATTCGTTTTAGAGAGAGATCTACCTTTCAAATACAAATTCTGCAAAAGTTTTATACCTCCAAGCGGTGAGAGAGAAAGCTTCCTGACAACTCTAGGCATCAAGATGGGAGTAGTAAGAGGCCTTTCTAATGGTAGCAGTTGGGGAGAAAAAAATAAGTTATTGTAAAAATAAATTTTGCCGTTCCCAACGAAAATAGTGGTGTGTTCTTAGAGAGTATTATTTGCAGCCACCCTGTGATCTGATCTGGGATCTGGCCGGTGCCTCCCCTGTCCTTCCCTCCAGGAATTCCTCTCACCTGCCGCCTCCCCCCCACTTTAATTTTGCCTCCTGTGCGCTCCCCGAAACCTCGAGAAGGGGATCCCCACTCCGGCGCTCCTGGGAATAAATGTGTGGAAGCAGAGTTTAAATGCCCTTCCTGGAGGTACACCCTACAAGCGGCGCCAGGCAGCCAAGAGAACTCCCAGTCCTTCCTCCAGCCAGCGGCGTTCGAAATCAATGCACACCCCCTTTTAAACTCTAATATGTGCCTTTTTTTCCCAAAAAAAAGTAATGTGTAGAAAACCCACCAATACGACGTTGAGTCCCCGCTCCCTCTCTCTTTTCCCCTCAGGATGGGCAGCAGGTTGAAAACGACTAGGTCTCCCTGCGCTCCGTTCCCTCGAGTGCCGCCAGGGCATTCCCGACGCCACGGGCCCGCCTGGCACCGACTTCCTTCTTCCAGGACCCCAGCCCCAGCAGCTGTTGCCGCCTCCGCCACTGCCTGGTCCCCGCTCTCCAGTCGCCAGCTCCCGGGGCCGGAGTCTGGGGACACTAGCGGCTCACGGGTGGGCGGGGGACGCTCCCAGCCCCGGTGGCTCCTTACCTGTCTGACATTCAACGGTTTGGGTTGACTTTGGCACCCGCCGGGCTCCCCGCTGCCGCCGCTCCTCCCGCGTGCTCCGCCGCCTTACCTGGCCGCAGCTCCCCTCACCTGCCCCGGCTCTGCCACCACACACCCCCCCCCAGCGGGCTCCTCAACACTTCATGGCGCACCGCTCCTGGCCTGGGGCCCCGGGGAACGTGTGTCCGGCTTGGCGGAGGCAACTGCTGCAACTGCGGCGACTGCCGCTCTTCCTCCTCTCCAATGGCTTCTCGCCTTTCCCCCGCCCCCGCCTCTTCCCCTCCCTCCTCCTTCTTTCCTCCCTCCCTCCCTCTCTTTCCTTCCCTCTTCCTTGGTCTCCTAGGACCGGACAAACAGGTTTCGCCGCTCCCCGGAGGTGCCTCTCCTCTCACTACAGCCGAAGCCACCGCAGCCCAGCTACACTCTGGCCAGGGAGGGGAAGAGAGGGAGTGAGAGAGACAGGGAGGGGGACCTGGGACGGAACAAGGTGGGATACACAGACTAGGAAGAGGCAGACAAAAGACAAGACCCTGTGCAATCAAGGCTGCTTCCTCTCCTTACCTTCTGCACACTTGCTGTCCCCCACACCCACCCCGCTAGTCCCGGACGTTTAGATCAACCTTGCCTGACCCCCCCCCACGCCCACCCCACTAAGCTTGGCTAGCAGCCCGGAGCGACTGCCGCCCCCTTCTCTTCCCCTCCCTTACTCTCGCTCTTGCTGGGACCACAGCAGCTGCTACAGCTCTCGGTTTACACATCGCGTCTGCCTTCAAAAAAGGCCCAGCAAACTAGACTCTCCCCGCTTCCTCCATCACCAGCCCGCTGAGTGCTCGGGAAGAGCAGCGCCCGCTTCTAGTCTTCCATCTGCTCTCGGGTTCCCCTCAATGAAGCCTGAGGCTGGTTTGCCAGACACTGAATGCTGACCACTGGGGAGCCTCGGGAAATGGGGGGGATGTGCGGAAAAGTGGAGCAGGCTGCCCCCACTGTCTGCCACTCTCGTGGCATTCTAGTTTATTGAACACCCTCAGAACGGCAGAGCACTCCAAGTGCCAGTGGGGATGGACGAGTGAAAAGGTAGAGAATAGCAAAAACAAGCTCAGGAGCTTTCCTCTCACACTGATGGCCAAGCGAATATAACTCATGCCAGTCCCACAAACCTACCCAACGGAAAAAGCCCAGAAGTATATACTGTCTTCAATTGTTTCGTGTAAATTTGTCATAGAACCAACTTGGATTTGAGCCCACTTCTGTCTTTAGTTACCCGTCTGACCTTGGGCAAGTATCTTCATCTCTCTGGCCTTAGATTCTTCATCTGTAAAATGAGTTGAACTAGACGGCCTCTAAAGTCCCTTTCAGCCCTAAGTCTAGGGCTCCTCAGTCCTCCCCAAAATCAATAAATGAAGACTGCTTGAAAGCAAGGACTTGCTTTGTTATGCTTGTTTCTATCCTGCCCACCTCTTGCCCAGAGAAGTGATCAGGTGCAAGCCATGTGGTGCTGGTAAATGGGGGGGGGCAGGAAAGACCTGTAAACATGAAAAGCTTTTAAGTTTAATATGCATTATTAATATTTTCTACATCACATAATCAAGAAAATAATAAATCAAGCCCTGATTTGTAGCTTTTAATGATTTCTGAAATGTAAGTGTTCACATTGAAAATTTACCAACCAAGAGCAAGTTAGAGTTGGCTCTAACATACCCCTGCCTGAACATAGATCTTTTTTAAAAGGTAGAATATATGCATTATAAAAGAAACGCAAACCAAAGTGCTATGAGAATTCAGAAGAGGGAGAGGAATCTGGGAAGACAGTATAGGAGGTGGCATTTGATTTAAGTCTAGAAGGAGTGGTAGGATTTCAAAAGGTATAGAAGAGGGAAAAAGAAAAGAAGGGAGCAGCTTTACAGATGGAAAGACAAAGACCTTAATCAAAAGTAAGGTGTCATGAAGCAGGGAATATGTATATTTCAAATTCTGAACTTAACAAATACTAAAGATCTCCAAGCATTTCCACATAACAAAGTAGAACATAAAAAGAGGATTATAGTCAACTCATGAATCTCCATTCCACGTAGATTTTAAGGTATATATTAATATATAATATATATTATGAAGATACATGTAAATTCAACCCACCATTTCAAAACTCTGACTTATCAATGTTTTCTTCTGGATTTCTCTCTGTACCCACCTGTGCACTTTTTAAAATGTAAGGAAGGTTGTCCGCTTTTTCTGTTCGTTTTTTTTTTGAGGCAATACTGTAACTATCCTCTCTCCCTCCCACTACCCACCCAATTAAAAAAAAAAACTTTGTAACAAATAAGTATGGCCAATCCAAACAAACACAAACCATTTCCATGTCCAAAAAGATGTATGTCCATTACCTCTCTGTTAAGAAGCGGCATAACACCAATCCTCTAGAGACATGGATGGTCTTGTCTTTCCATGTTCAGAGTTTTAAATTTTTTCAAAGTTTTTTTCTTTATCCTATATTGTGTTGCTGTTATCATATAAATTGTTCCCCTAATACAAAAAGAGAGATTTATTCAAGAAACAGGAAATGGCTGGAGTTTAGGAAACCTAGATTATACTAAAGCTAGGTTGAGGCCAGGGAATAGAGTGCCTTGAATACTTGAATACCTGAATGTCAACTTGAACAGTTCCTCAAAATCTTGACACCAATTTTCCAGTTATTTGGCTTCTCAGATTAATTTATATTTACTTATCTGTATACACATGGCATACTCTCAGTCCAAAGTAAGTTCCTTGAGGGCAAGTACTATTCTATTTCTTTGTGAGTTCTGTAACCATTGCCTAACACAGTGCCTTGAACATAGCAGTGCTTTAAAAAGTTTGCTTTTGTTGAAGTAAATTCAGTAAGTAATAACCCATTTGTTTTTGGGTTTGTTTATTTTTTTTAGACAGGGTAGGGAGTAATCCAAGTTGTACTCTAAGAAGAGTCATCTGGAAGCTGTACTAAAGTGGAACAGGAAGAGTGGGGGCTATTGCTGTAGTTTGTAGGAAATGTAATGAGAGTCTCAATTAGGGTGGTGCCAAAAAGAGACAATAAGGAATATTGGAAAGAGCATTGAATTTGGAGTCATTTTTTGTTGTTCAGTCGTTTTATCAGTCATGTCCCACTCTTTGTGATCCCATTTGGGGTTTTCTTGGCAAAGGTACTGGAGTGGTTTGCCATTTCCTTTTTCAGCTCATTTTACAAATGAGGAAACTGAGGCAAACAGGGTTAAGTGACTTGTTCAGGATCACACAGATAGTAAGTATCTGAATCCAGATTTGAATTCAGGTCCTCCTGACTCCAGGGCTGGCACTCCATCCACTGGGCCACCTATTTACCCTTTTGGAGTCATAAGGCTATTTAAAATCCCAGCTTTGCAACTTGAGTGAATTTTTAAAAAATCAACCTCTCTGGGCCTCAATTTTCTCATCTAACAGAGGACTAGCTAGTCTTCCACTTCTAAATCCTGTGAAATGGAAAGAGACCATGGGAAGGATGAAATTGACAGGACTTCGCAAATGATTAGATTTCAAGAGAAAATCGAAGAGGACTTTGTAGCTTCTAGCCCAGGTGACTGAAAGAATTATAAAAGAGAAACTCTAAATTGGGGGTGGAAAGGGAAGGTGAGAAAGATGAACTTCTTCTGGTTTTGTAAATTAAGTCAGATTATTGCCATTGTTGTCAGGAAGATTGTATGTGGCCCAGGTTCTCCATCTACCTAACAATCAACCTACCCTGAGGCACAAGTTACCTTTCTTTTTCTCTCGATGATGCAGCTCTCTCCATATCTTCTTTACTAAAGCAAACTGAGACAGAATCAGCTTGAGTACACCTGCAGGTCCAATTTAGACAGGTGAAGGCAGTCACAGGATAATTAAAGGGGCGCAGCTAGAAATGACAAGGCAATGCACGTGCCACTAGCTGGGCTTCCTCTCAGCCCTTCTGTCCTGTATTCATCATCAAGCAACTATCCTCTACTTTTAACTGAAGTATTTTGACCTTTTGCAAGGATAGCATAGTGAGCGAACCAGGAAGATGAGTCTTTCTGACTCCAGGTCTCACGCACTCTATCCACCTAGCCATGACACCAAAAAGATGAAGAAGCATTATTTAAAGGTGGGTTCCTTTTTGTCACTAGCCATAGACCTCAAAAATTCAGCGGAGAGCCAAGAAGGAAAAAAAAAGGGGGGGTGTGGTCTTATAAGAGAGTAGCCCACTAATACAGGAAGTGAGCTTGTGTTGTTGGATGGACTTCAGAGGCAGATCTTTTACGGAAGGATTACGGGATCATAGCAATAGATTTTTGTTACATTGCTTATACAGCTCTTGAAAGATGTAAATTTTCTGTACTCTCAAAAATAAAACAAAAAAAATCAGGTGCTGTAGCTTTTCAGTTTTACAGCGTCCATATAAATACAGAAAGGAGCTTTTAAAAAAAACCCTCAGGTCTAATTTTTTTTTTTTAAAGCAAGGGGATAGTAAATGATATCAGAACAGTCATTAATCTGGCATCTCCCCTATAAAACACAAGTATTCTTGGGGGGAAAAATAGGCTAGAAGAAGCATTATACTGAGGCAGTCCCTGCCCTTTACCAAGTGACCCAGCTCAGAAAACCCTTTCCATTTAGGGGAAACACCTCCTAGGAGAGGCTGTACTATTTGGGGTACTTCTCTTGCTACTCCTTTTAAAGAATATATCAGAGGAGGAGAGGTCCGAAGGCTTGGAGGAGGCTGTTTCAGCAATAGTCATAAATGACATAATTTTTCCTTTGGAGGCAGTGTTGGCAGAGAAGTCAGGAGACTTCAGTTCAAAACCTGACTCTGCTTGGATGACTTTGGAGAAGTCCCTCAACCTCTCTTCCTCTAAAATCCCCATCACTATGTGTTGGACAAGTAAACACACCGACTAAGCCATTTCTTAGATAGAAGACACAGGAGGGCTTCTAGCACCTCTCTCACTAGCCGGTAAGCTTTTGATCCCATCAGACGGGAAGACAGGAATGGAGTCATCATAAGGGGTTAAATAAGCTTACTTATTCTAGTTTAGTCTTCTCAAAGGGAGTTTGCTGATAATGGGAGCTCCAACTCCTACAGCATTCCCTAACAACCCTTCTCTTGGGGGCTGGTGTGAAGCAGGGCAACTATCCCTCCGACTCGATGGAGTCAATTGAGACCAGCATAACTTGTGCACTCCCTTAAATCCCCTCAA